TTTTCTTTTTGCTTTTGTGGTGCTGAGGAATCGAACCCAGGGCCTCATGCATGCAAGGCAAGCACTCTACCACTGAGCCACCTTCCCAGCCCTGTCCCTGAGCTCTTTTGCTCAAGGCTAGTACTCTACTACTTTGAGCCACAGTGCGACTTCTGGTTTTCTGAAGGTTAATTGGAGATAACAGTCTTTCTACCTGGGCTGGCTCTGAACCACAATTCTTATATCTCAGCTTCCTGAGTAGCTAGGATTACAAGCGTGAGCCACTGTTGCCTGGCTTCACCAAACTTTCACTGTGGCTAAGATTTAAAAAAAAAAAAGGTATGAAATGGGTGCTGTTCCTGTGTCTACTTGAGACCTGGGGAAACTGAGGCATAGGGATGGTCACACAGGTAGCCAGAGGTAAAGCCAAGATGTGTCACCACTGTGCTTGAGTACTAGTTGTTAAGAGCTGCAAATATTTAACAAGGCAAATAAATATCAACAATATTTATAAGGCAAACCATTAAATGTTACTGTTGTTACAAATGATATGACACTCATTTTAGACTTATACATCTTAAGAGCTGAGTACTGTGCCTAAAATGTTTTTTTTTTTTTTTAAAAAAAAAGCCTTGGGCTGGGAAGGTGGCTCAGTGGTAGAGCGTTTGCCTTGCATGCATGAGGCCCTGGGTTCGATTCCTCAGCACCACATAATCAGAAAAAAAAAAGCTGGAAGTGGCGCTGTGGCTCAAGTGGTAGAGCCCTAGCCTTGAGCTGAAGAGCTGAAAGACAGTGCCCAGGCCCAGAGTTCAGGCCCCATGATTGGACCCCCCCAAAAAAAAGCCTTCTTCATCTGAAAAAAATCTATTTGGGGTTCATTTTTTGTGCCAGTTCTGGGACTTGAACTCAGGACCTGGGTACTCTTCCTGAGCTTTTATGTATTTTTTGCCAGTCCTGGGGTTTGAACTCAGGGCCTGGGCACTGTCCCTGAACTTCTTTTTGCTCAAGGCTAGCACTCTACAGTGCCACTTCTGGCCTTTTCTGTTTATGTGGTACTGAGGAATTGAATCCAGGGCTTCATGCATGTGAGGCAAGCACTAAGCCACTAAGCAAACACTAAGCCACATTCCCAGCCTGCTTTTTAATTTTTATTATCTATTTATTTCTCAAGGTTAGCCCTCTATAGCTCCACTTTTGGATTTTTGATGGTTAAGAGTCTCACAGACTTTTCCTTCCTGGCTGACTTGAAACTGTAATCCTCAGATCTTGGTCTCTTGAGTAGTTAGGATTATAGGTGTGAGCTACAGGTGCCTGGCTGTTTTGGATATCTTAATGCCTCTGAAGATTTTTTTTTCTTTTTGTCAGTCGAGGGGCTTGAACTCTGGGGTTGGCCGCTGTCCCTGCATTCTTCAGCTCAAGGTGAGTACTCTACCACTTTGAGCCACAGGGCCACTTCCAGTTTTCTAGTTTCCACTTTATTGGAGATAGAGTCTTACGGACTTTCCTGCCCGGGTTGGCTTTGAACCGTGATCCTCAGATCTCAGCCTCCTGAGTAGCTAGGATTACAGGCGTGGGTCACTGGTGCCCAGCACCTCTGAAGATTTCTAAGGCCAGTTAGTGGGAAATAAAAATGTTCAGATTTGTATTTGTTTCAAACAAAATCTGCTGACAGTAAGTTTAGAGTCAAGTAACCTGTTATTTGAACACCTTTTTTTTTTGCCTGTATCTGTAGATAGTTGATATTTAAGGGAGTTAAAAAAAACAAACAAAAGTTATATAATAGATAAGAAATAGTTTAGAAAACTCAGTTGGATTTAATGTTAGAAAAAATATAATAGCATAGACATCAGTGATCAATCAGTGATAGAAATGATAAATCAAGCCGGGCTTTGGTGGCTCACGCCTGTAATCCTAGCTACTCAGGAGGCTAAGATCTGAAGGTCCCAGTTTAAAGCCATCCAGGGCATAAAGTGTATCGCCCATAAACCACAAGAAAACTGGAAGTGGCGCTGTGGCTCAAGTGGTAGAATGCTTGCCTTGAGCTGAAGAGCTGAGGGACAGCCCTTCAAGCCCCATGACCGATTAAAAATAAAAGATAAATCAATGATTAAAAAATGCTTTTTTATTAATATGTAAGGAAAAATACATGTAGCCATATATATTTGAGCTAGTTAGGTGATAAACTATAAAATACTTTCAAGTTATCATCATTTTAACATATGCAAAAAATACCTCATGTCTTGGATGAGAGAGACCCTGAGTGTAGGTAACATAACTCCTGAGTCAGACTTTCTTCTTTCTGGTCCAAGGGCAACTATGGAAAAGCATCAACAAAATATTAATTAGAAAAAATAACAGAAAGAACTTTAATCTGTAGCTATATTTAGACAGTTACAATAATTTTTATAGAAGTTCACCTAGCAAATAAGGCAAAGTGTGCAAATTCTGGTCCTAATGACTAGTCATTTTCTACAGCTATGCATTCTAATAGCATAATTACAGAAAACAATCTCCAAATTAAGGTACTAGGTATGTCAATCTTTATCTCTGGACTCATGAAGTAGAAATATATAGATTAAAATCTGGAAAAAGTGCTAAAAATAAAATAACATGTTAGATTAGGCACTGGTGACTCACACCTGTAATCCTAGCTATTTAGGAGGTTGAGACCTGAGGATCATGGTTTGAAGCCACCCAGCAGGAAAGTCTATGAGACTCTATCTCCAACTGATCACCAAAAACATGGAAGTGAAGCTGTGGCTCAAGTTGTTAAGTGCCAGTCTTGAGTGAATAAAGTTAAGGGATAGCTCTCAGAGCTTGGGTTCAAGCTCTAGTAGCTCACATGCATGTACACATACATACATACATACATATATACACAAATACACACAAAGAAAAAGAAAAGAAAGCTCTGAACAACTGGTGTGATTCAGTGGTAGAGCATCTTTTTGATCACTGGTTTGATTAAAAACAAACAAACAAACAAACAAAAAGGCAAGCTAGGTGGCAGTAGCTCATGTCTGTAATCCTAGCTACTTAGAAAGATGAGATATGAGGCTCGAGGTTCTAAGCCAGACTGAGCAGAAAAGTCCCCAGGAGACTCTTAACTCCAACTAACCACTCAAAAACCAGAAATTGCTGTGGCTTAAGGGGAAGAACATTATCCTTGAGCAAAAAAGCAGTTCAGGGACAGTGCACAGGCCCTGAATTCAAGCCCCACAACTCATAAAAACAACAAAAAACAAATAGGCTGGGCACTGGTGGCTTATGCTTGTAATGTTAGTTACTCATGAGGGTGAGACCTGAGGATCTCAGTTCAAAGCCAGCTTGGGCAGGAAAGTCTACAATTAATCACTAGAAAACCAGAATTGAAGCTGTGGTTCAAAGTGGTAGAGCATTAGCTTTGAGCTTAAAAAGTTCTGGTACAGGGCAGGGAAGGTGACTCAGTGGTAGAATGCTTGCCTTGCATGCATGAGGCCCTGGGTTCGATTCCTCAGCACCACATAAGCAGAAAAAGTCAGAAGTGGCACTGTGGCTCAAGTGGTAGAGCGCTAGCCTTGAGCTGAAGAGCTGAGGGACAGTGCCCAGGCCCAGAGTTCAGGCCCCATGACTGGACCCCCCCAAAAAAAATCAATAAATAATTCATCATCAGGACCATTCACACTAAACTGGTCATTTATAAGTTTGGTGACCTAGCTTATCCATTCCTAGTTTTGTGATTTGTGTGTTTGTGTGTGGTGTACGTGGGTGTGGGTGTGTGTTAGTATGAGGGTTTTAAACTCAGGGCTTTGAATTCTTACTCATTTTTTTGTTCCTTTAATGATGATGCTCTACCACTTGAGGCATATCTTCAGTCCAGCACTTTGTTGGATAATTAGAGATGTAGTCTTTTAAAAAATATTATAAAGGTGATATAGAGAGGGTTACAGTTAGTCAGGTAATAAGTACATTTCTTCTTGAACAGTGTCATGTCTTTCCTTGTTCTCTCCCAGTTTTTCACTCCTGTGGAGATATCGTCTTGTAGCTTTTTTTTTTTGGGGTCAGGTTGTGGGGCCTGAACTCTGGGCCTGGGCACTGTCCCTCAGCTCTTCAGCTCAAGGCTAGCGCTCTACCACTTGAGCCACAGTGCCACTTCTGGCTTTTTTCTTTTTGCTTATGTGGTGCTGAGGAATCGAACCCAGGGCCTTGAGCATGCAAGGCAAGCGCTCTACCACTGAGCCACCTTCCCAGCCCCTGTAGCTTTTTTTAAAATAAAGTTTTTATTGTGAAAAGACCGTACAGAGGGGTTGCAATTACATGAGCAAGGTAATGAGTACATTTCTTATCAAGCATTGTTGCCTCCTCCTTTGTTTTTTCCCTACCATCCCTGCCCTCCCATCTCTATGACTATATTCCCCCCACCCCGTCTTGTGGCTTTTTTCTCCCTGGATTTGAACTGTGATCCTCTAGCTCTCACCTTCCTGTGTAGTGAGGCTATAGGTGTGATTCCTGGTACCCAGCATGACTTTTTTTTTTTTTTTGGGTCTGGTCGTGGGGCCTGATCTCTGGGCCTGGGCGCTGTCCCTTAGCTCTTCAGCTCAAGGCTAGCACTCTGCCACTTGAGCCACAGCGCCACTTCTGGCTTTTTTCTTTTTGCTTATGTGGTGCTGAGGAATTGAACCCAGGGCCTCATGCTTGCAAGGCAAGCGCTCTACCACTGAGCCACCTTCCCAGCCAGCCTAGCATGATTTTTCCAGTCATTTTTGGTGGAGCTAAGGATTGAAGCGGGGTCCTGTGCATTGTAGGCACACAACTACTAAGCAACACACAGAGGCCTAGTGACATTTTGAGCATCTAACTCCTTCACCTTGTTGAGGAGCTTGGCAAGAATCCGGCAAAGGGAAGAGAATCAGCTCAGCAGAAGACCAGAAGGACTGGCATGGAGATGATTGAGGTCAGCTTGACTGTCACTTTGTTGGATATAATTAGGTTACATTAGTATTCATGGAATTAAGGGGCTCTAGTAGCACAAAATACATGTTTATATGTAGAATATTTGGGTGGAAAGAGGGAAGAAAACTGGCATAACCAGATAAAAAGAAAGGGGAGCCCTATCAGAAAAGGAGACTAAAGACCAGAGCAAAGAAACTATCTAAACTTTTCCACCCTTAAACACTGTATCACAAAATAGTAAAGAACTATTCGTTTTGGCTAGATAAAAGTAGACATTGTGTGGGTCCCACAGAGCAATGAGTATGCAGTGAGTGTGGAATTTTCTTTTGCTATCATTTTATCATTTGTTCCCAAATCATTGCCTTATTGTTGATTATGTTTCCCTTTTCTGGCATTAAAAAACTGGTGACACAAGCTGGGCACTGGTAGCTCACACCTGTAATCCTAGCTACTCAGGAAGCTGAGATCTGAGGATCACAGTTCAAAGCCAGCCCAGACAGGAACATCTGTGAGACTCTTATCTCCAATAAACCATCAGAAAACCAGAAGTGATGCTGTAGCTCAAGTGGAAGAGCCCTAGCCTTGAGCTGAAGAACTAAAGGATAGCGCCCAGGACCAGAGTTCAAGCCCCACTTACGGACAAAACAAAACTGGTGATACACTGCCAGTCATTTGTAACAAAAGACAAAGCAACATAGGCTTTTTTTTGTTTTTTCCTTATTGGCTTTTTTCCCCCTCAAGGTCAAAGCTCTACTTTTGACTTTTTTCTGGTTAATTGGAGATTTTCTTACAGACTTTCCTTCCAGGATTGGCTTTGAACTGTGATCCTCAGATCTCAGCCTTCCAAGTAAATTTAAGTGCCTGTCTGAAGATAGCGCCCCCCCCAACCCCCCGCTTTTGTTTTGGTAGGTGGTGGGGCTTAAAATCTGGGCCTGGGCACTGTCCCTCAGCTCTTCAGCTCAAGGCAAGCGCTCTACCAATTGAGCCCCAGCGTCACTTCTGATATCCTGGTGGTTAATTGGAGATAAGACTCTTATGGATGTTCCTGTGTGGGCTAGCTTTGAACCATGATCATCAGATCTCAGCCTCCTGAGTAGCTAGGATTACAGAGGTGAGCCATAAGCGCCCAACTAAAGATGGCCTTTTAATGACATCTCCTTCTGTATGTCACATTTCTTACAGATCTCCTAATGGACTATGACATGAACAGTTACCTGCTTGACCTGCAAGCCATGACTCCATATCCTCTCCAGCAAGTCACAGAGGCTGGCGATCAGGGTGTTCTCCTCCAGACCAGTGATGTTTGCTTCCCCATGGCCCAGCTCCACTGCCTCATGTCCCATCTTCTCTACCAACATGCGCTTTGTCTGAAATATCACATGTGGTCAGTCATAATCCATCCCATAAGCGAGTCAATTACTGGCCTAAGAGACCTGGCGTCCCTTCGTTGTCTAATTACAGATTTGTATTGTGTGTGTGCGTGTGTGTTTGTGTGTGGTGTGTGGTGTTCCTGGGGCTTATTTTCTGGGCATAGCCACTTGTCCCTTTTGTGTTCAGGGATAGTACTCTACCAAGGGAGTCACAGCTTCACACTTTCGACTCCTTTACTGCTTGAGCTAAGAGTTTCATGGACTTTCCTGCCAGGACTGGCTTTGAACCACGATCCTTAGGTTTCAGCCTCCTGAGTTGCTAGGTTTACAGTCGTGAGCCACTAGCACCCAGCCTAATTACAGATATTTTAATCACCTTAGGAAAATGTTTTGATTTCTAACTGCAATAATATCACCTGAGTATTACTATTATGTCAGAGAAATGGAGAGACACTAAAGAGAGACTGAGATATTTGCATAACATACCCATGTAGGAAAAGAGCTTTTATACAATAATTTTCTTTTGTGTGGGTCAAAAGGCTTGAGCTCAGGGTCTGGGTGCTATCTCGAGCTCTTTTTGCTCAAGGCTAGCACTCTAACACGTGAGTCACAGCCCTACTTCCAGCTTTATTTGGTGCTTAATTGGAAAAATAAAAAGCCTTGCTGACTTTTTTCCAAGGCTGGCTTTGAGCCAAGATCATTTTATCTCATTCTCCTGAGTAGCTAGGATTACAGTAGTGAGCCACCAGAACCTGGCAATGTCTTTTGATGGCAGAGAACACAAAGATGAGAAAAACTATGTGGGGCTCCCAGATTACTGGTATGGTGGGATTTCATGTAAGAATACATGCAAGATTCCTTTTAGGGAAGCTATGTCCCCAGTGGAGATTGACTCATCTCCTCTTAGCGATACCTCCCATCCCCAGCACAAGTGTAAATTCACACTGTCCAGCATCGTAATACATACCTTCATTCTGCATTCTTTTAATAAGCCTTCCACAAATTTCCAGTTAGTCTGTGCAATTACTGCAGGAGAGAGGTCTGACAATTTGGGTTGCCTCAGGTTTTTTCCTAAGCTTCGTGCCTCTTGCATATATTTCTAAAAATTAAGAGTATTTAAAAAATATATAAGTATCATTTTCTGTTCTACTTAACCTTATACCAACAAATAGAGGAATAAGCGAGATACAGACAGGCTGTATTAGCATGTGGCACTTTGGAGAAAGTGTTGTGCTGTGCTCTCCTAAATCTGTTAAAGTTTAAAATCATTCAGAACCATGTGGAGCTCACTTAGTACTTGTGTGTGTGTGTGTGTGTGTGTGTGTGTGCACTCCAGTATTGGGGCTTGATCTCAGGGCTCAGTACTATCCCTTAGCTTTTTTGCTCAAGGCTGGCTTGCAGATTTTTGGTTTTTATATAGTCAACTGAAGATAGAGTCTCAAGCCAGGTGCCAATGGCTCATGCCTGTAATCCTAGTTACTCAGGAGGCTGAGATCTGAGGGTTGCAGTTCAAAGCCAGCCCAGGCAGGAAAGTCCATGAGCCTTTTTTTTCTTTGGTCAGTCATGGGGCTTGAACTCTGGGCTTGGGTACTGTCCTTGCGCTCTTCAGCTCAAGGTGAGTGCTCTACCGCTTGAGCCACAGCACCACTTTCAGTTTTCTAGTGGTTTATTGGAGATAAGAGACTCATGGACTTTCCTGCCCAGGCTGGCTTTGAACCACGATCCTCAGATCTCAGCCTCCTGAGTAGCTAGGATTATAGGCGTGAACCACCTGCGCCTGGCTAGTCCATGAGACTTTTACCTCCAATTAACCACAAAAAAACCAGAAGTAGTGCTGTGGCTCAAAGAGGTAGAGCATTAGCTTTGAGCTAAAGAGCTCAGGGACAGCACTCAGGTCCAGACCAAACTCCACAATGACCAAGAGAGAAAGAGAGGGAGAAAAAGAGAGGGGGGGAGGGAGAAGGAGAGAGAGACAGAGAGGGAGAGGGAGAGGGAGGAGGAGAGGGAGAGAGGAAAAGAGAGAGCACACACGCATGCACAAGAGTACCTCAAGGACTTTCCTGCCTGGACTGGCTCCGAAACACACAGTTCAAGTGTGAGCTACCAGCACTGGGCTTAGTTTAGTTTTTATTTTCTATTTATTTTTTCTTTGGCCGTGGGGCTTGAACTCAGGGCCTGGGTGCTGTCTCTGAGCTCTTTTGCTCAAAGCTAGCACTCTAATCACTTTGAGCCACAGAGCCACTTCTGAGTTTTGAGTGGTTAATTTGAGATAAAGAATTCCACTGGACTATCTTTTCCCTGGCTTTAAACCTCAATCCTAGATCTCAGCCTCCTGAGTAGCTAGGATTACAGGTATAAGACATCTAGTTCAGTGACTTAGATTACCTGATGGATGAAAAGGCAGGTATCTGGTTTTAAGTGCAAATTCTGGAGAAGCCTAGTGGGTCTCAGATAATTTCTTTCCTCCACTCCTCTCTCTACACAAGAACTTCACATATCTGTCTAGCTTGGCCAGTCCTAATTAACATCCCAACAGTAAATCTAAAAGTTCTAGAACTGAGTAGACATTAGGCATAACAACGAATGTTTTTATATTTGAGCTTTGTGAGTGTGTGTGTGTGAAGGTACTGGAGGGCTTGAATTGAAGGCCTTGCATACTTTCTTAGCTTTTTTGCCAAAAGCTAATACTCTACCACTTGAGCCCCGACTACTTTTGGCTTTCTGGTGAATAACTGGAGATCACAGTCTCCCAAATTTTCTTGCCTTGGCTGGCTTAGAACCCAGGCTTCTGGATTCATAAGTCTTAGCTCCCTGGGATGGCTTCTGAATGTCCAGATCTCAGCCTGCTGAGTAGCTTGTATTACAGGCTTCAGCCACCAGTGCCTAGCTTAAGTGCTACTTAATATAGGCTCCTCCTTAGTTTTCTAATAAACACTCCTATCCCTTAAATTGGTGCTGAACTTGTGAAAAGATCTTTCATAAAATTAAGCTTTAAGGGCTGGGAAGGTGGCTCAGTGGTAGAGCGCTTGCCTTGCATGCCTGAGGCCCTGGGTTCGATTCCACAGTACCACATAAGCAAAAAGAAAAAAGCTGGAAGTGGCATTGTGGCTCAAGTGGTAGAGCGCTAGCCTTGAGCTAAAGAGCTGAGGGACAGCGCCCAGGCTCAGAGTTCAGGCCCCATGACCGGACCCCCCCACCCCCCCAAAAAATTTAAACTTTAATGACATAAACAGGGAAAAAATGTGAGAAAGGCTCCTAAATTATTTGTGCTATCAGGAAAACAGTGGTGAATGCAAGCTGGCATGTAGGGTCAGTAGAAAAAACTGGCTGGACATCAGGATTTCTGGGCTCCAAGCCCAACTCTGCTTTTGTATGTCCATTTAGCCTTTGGTCAACTGTCTTGGACCTTAGCTAATTATGTCAGATTGGATAAGATGAACTCTAGGGTTCCTTCTTAGCATTCAATACTCTATGTTGATTACTGCATTTCCTGAAACATACAATGTATACTAGGAAAGTAAATTGATATGGAGACAAATTTCTAAGAGAGAAAAGCCAAAATTCAAATACTTTTGTTCTTCAAAATGAAAAAAATATAAGTAAGAGGGAATTTGTATATTGAATATAATTTTCCCTCTCTGAAATAAAAACAATTTATTTTTTTATTTTTATTTTATTTTATTTTTTTGTCAGTCATGGGGCTTGAACTCTGGACCTGGGCCCTGTCCCTGGGCTCTTCAGCTCAAGGATAGCACTCTACCACTTGAGCCACAGCAATACTTCTGGTTTTCCAGTGGTTAATTGGAGATAAGAGTCTCACAGACTTTCCTGCCTGGGCTGGATCTGAACTGTGACCCTGAGATCTCAGCCTCCTGAGTAGCTAGGATTACAGGCCTGAGCCACAGGCACTGGCACAATTTGCTTTTATTGAAAAAAAAAAAAAAGGATCCCGAGAGGAGGTAGAGCTGTAGCTGAAGTGGTAGAGCACAAAAGCTCAGAGACAGTGCCCAGGCCCTGAGTTCAAGCCACAACTGGTACACACACATTCTGTGAGACTCTTATCTCCAATTAACATCTAAAAAGCTAGAAGTGGAACTGCGGCTTGAGTGGTGGTAGAGTGCTAGCCTTGAGGAAAAAAAAAAAAGCTCAAAGATGGTGTCCAGCCATGAGTTCAAGTCCCAGGACTAACACCAAAAAAAATCCCAGAGGTAGAGACATGGATCAGGTGGTAAAGTGCCAGCCTTTGGGCTAAAGGATCAGACCCTGAGTCAAGTTCCAGTAATGGAAGAAAAAAAAAATTCCCACTGCATAGGGACAGTTTCACTGTCAACAGGATGGAATTATTTACGTTAACACTCACAGAACAAAATAGCATCACATACAAGGGAACACAGAAGGCAAAGCAGGGAGATGGAGTGCTCATGTGACAGTGATGAGAGGCACTCTACAGCTACATGAACTCCCGTGTGTGTGTGTGTGTGTGTGTGTGTGTGTGCGCGTGCGCGCGCGCACACATCATCAAGCAATACCAAGGGCAACATGTGGACACATCTGATGAAACACTTACAAGGCAGAGGACATACCAGGCAGCACTCAGAGAAGGACTTTTTAGGAAGCCGTGCAGGAGGAGGTGGGCCCTGCTCCCACTCCCAGAATCCCATGAAGTTCTGACAGACCGAAAGGTCCCCGGAAGGCTAAGAGCATGAAGTGCCAATGGCAGAAAAGCAAAAAATAAAAAGGAGAGGGGGAGATAGATAGGCAAAACAAGCATGCACATGAGAAAACCACAGCAAAGGGGCAAAAGAAAAGAAATACAGTTGCCAAAGGAAGGCACTGAGACAGGATGCTTCAGTTCTTAAGCAAATGTTCAAAATCACGTATGGATGGATGAAGACACTAAGAAAAAGCCAAAGATGTTTACAATGATGTTTTCTGCTTTATTTCTACACATTTGAGCTTAGAAAACAATTAACAGGCTTTCTTACTGCATTTTCTTTGATCATATGAAACAAAAACTTACTTAAAATTACTCAGTTGTATAATTACAGTTTTATTTTCAAAGAGTACAAATAAAGCATATGGATTTTAATTTGAAAATAGCTCAAAAATTCCCTTAAATGGTGTCAGCAAGCCGCCAGGACAAAGCTTAGGTAAATGCTCCTTTACTTACTAGGTGTAAATTAAATTATACTGAAACCAAGGACTACTGTTCCCAAATTTACCATTCACTTTTTTTTTTTGGGCTGGTTCTGTGACTGGAACTCAGGGCTTGGGCACTGTCCCTGAGCTCTTTTGCTCAAAGCTAGTGCTCTACCACTTAAGCTACAACTCCAATTCCAGTTTTGTTTTGTTTTTTGTTTTTGCAGGTTAGTGAAGATAAGAGTCTCAAGAACTTTCTTGCTTGTGCTGACTTTGAACTGTGATCCTCAGCCCTCAGCTTCCTGAGAAGCTAGGATTATATGCATGAACCACCTGTACCTGGCTCCCAAATTTACTCTTTACTTGCTGAAGGACCGAAATTACAAAAATGGAAAAAAGTTGTCTTTCACAAATCAGTACCCAAAGGATATTTTCAAATACAATTGGACAATTTTTTTTTGAGAACATGAAAGGACCCACACAAAGAACCTTGCTGGCTAGGTGGGCCTTGTCCTAGCTTTGCATCCAGACAACCCACATACCTCCCTCAAATCGTTGTCCAGTCCAATGTTCTCTGAGTGTTGGCGAAGGCGTTCTTTCCTGCGCTGTGTGGTGGCACTGCGGCTGACCCAGCGACTAAAAAAACAAAACAACAAAAAACCCCACATCCAGGGTAGCTTGAGTCTAGACAACCGACCAAAGAATGGTCTCTATCTTTCACACAGCAAGATAAACTGTTCCCGACAAAAGAAGGACATCCCCTGCTTTGCAATCAATTATTTTACAAACATATAACAGCTTTATTAAGACATAATCAAAATACCATTCAATCCTCATATCCAAAGCACTTGGTCCAATGTGTTTTAGCATATTCACAGATAATGTGCAACCACCACCACAATGAATTTTTTTTTTTTTTTGGCCAGTCCTGGGGTTTGAACTCAGGGCCTAGACACTTCTCTGAGCTTCTTTTGCTAGCACTCTACCACTTGACCCAAGGCACCACTTCGGGCTTTTTTGTTTATATGATACTGAGAAATCAAACCCAGGGCTTCATGCATGCCAGCAAGCACTCTACCACTAAGCTACATTCCCAGCCCCCAACAATAAATTCTTTAAAAAAAAAAAACTAAAAACAAAGGTAAAGGACTGAGCGCCAGTGGCTCACACCTGTAATCCTAGCTACTCAGGAGGCTGAGATCTGAGGATCATGATTCAAAGTCAGCCGTGAGAGTCTTATCTCCAATAAACCACCAGAAAACCAGAAGTGATGCTGTGGCTCAAGTGGTAGAATGCTCGCCTTGAGCTGAAGAGCTGAGGGACAGCATCCAGGCCCAGAGTTCAAGCCCCATGAGCAAAAAAAAAAAAAAAAAAAGAGTAAGTCCTCTACTATAAGGTCTAAGGATTAGCCCATTGGCCACTGTGATTCTTTTGCTCTAATCTTGTATGATTGTGTTTCTGTAAAATGGTAGCTCATATTTATCAGGGTTTTTGTTCGTGTGTGTGTGTATGTGTACTGGGTCTTAAACACAGGACCTGGGTACTGTCCCTGAGCTTTTGTACTCAAGGCTAGCGTAGCTCTCTACTACTTGAGCGGTGTGTGTGTGTCGGGCCTGGGCCTTATGGTCATTACTGTGTGTGTGTGTACTGGGTCTTAAACACAGGACCTGGGGGCCTTATGGTCGTGTGTGTGTGTGTGTGTGTGTGTGTGTGTGTGTGTGTGTGTGTGTGT